CAGCAAACAACAAATGCTGGCAAGGTTGTGGAGAAACTGGGACCCTTATCCACTGTTCAGTTGGAGTGAAAAATGGTGCAACCACTGTGGAAGGTGATATTGCGCTTTCTCAAAAAGTTGCAAATAGAAATACCATTTGACCCACCAATTCCACTACTGGGAATATACCCTAAATAAACCAGAACTGCCACCCAAGCAAATATATACACACCCATGTTTATTGCGTCTTTGTTCACAACAGCAAAGAGATGGAAACAACCAAAGTGCCCATCAACAAACGATGGACAGAGAAGCTGTGGTATATTCACACAATGGAATAATACGCTGCACTTTAAAAACAAGGAACTCATGAAATATTATACATAATGGATGACCATGAAGGACATTATGCTGAGTGAAGTATCTCAGTCACAAGAGGACAAATATTGCATAATGTCATTGGTAGGAAACTAAGAAAAGGGGATAATGTACTGTGCATTGAAACAGATGAGGGAGAGAACTGCTTAAATGGAATATATGATTAGGTATTATTTGCATGGCAAAAGTCCAGAATGAGAGCTCGATAGTAAAGTGGACTGGGGAAGGAATCACGTAACAAGAATTTTTTTAAGAGAAAAACGAACTGGGGTGGGCAGGGAAGAGATGAATGGAAATCCATGTTCTCTGTAAACTTTCATTAAAATCTCATCAGAAAAATTTTAAAAATCAGACAGGTTGTTGAGTCTTACTAAATATTTAATCAGATCTATACTAAAAGACATGCAAAGAAGTTCATAAAAATGTTTATTAGCAATACTCTGTAATCTCAAAAATATTAAAATATTTCAATATCAGTGGGCAAATAGGTAGATAACTTGTGGTATACTTACCCTATAGACTATCAAAGAGTAGTTAAAATGAAACTAACTATAGCTGCAGGCAGTGATGTAGCTGGAGCTTAGTCATGTATTACTGAGTTAAAAAAAAAACCCTCAAGAGTAGTTTAAAAAATAAACTAAAATTAATATATCAAACTATATTTAGAACCCAAGGGAATAAAAAAGATTCAGGGTAATGGGAGTCCCAGAAATAGAATTAAAGAGGAAAACATAGGCAAGTGGTTGGAATTATTTAAGTTCCAGCTATTTTGTTGACTGTTGGGCCCATGGATTTACAAACAGAAAGAAAATTAATGAATTAGTATAAAAGGGTAAGAGATCTTTCTGTGAAAATGTTCCTTGAGGACATTATATCATTGTTACATACCATAATTTTTTTAAATTATGACAGTATTTTCAAGGGGGAAAATTAGCTGATTGCCTATATTGACATTTGTAGCTAAGTTATGACTTTCCTGAAATAAGCATTTTTTTTCCACTGTGGAAATTAGTAACTATTCATTCTATTGATCAAGCACTAAGATCTCTGCCCTTGTGTCTTATCCTGTCTCAAAAGACAATCCTTCAGAATTCAACTGTTTTACCCCCATCCCAGTGTCAGCCTCATTCTACAACAGTGGCACCATATATTTGTCCTTTTGTGGCTGAGATATTTCACTCAGCATAATGTCCTCTAGGTTCACCCATTTTGAATAATTTGCATGAGTTCCTTGTTTTTCAATACAGCAGACAATAGTTTAAAATTAATATATTTTAGGGCATTGTGATTATCATAGGAGTCTGGAATGAGGGTTGCAGAGTGGAGTATACTTGGGGTGGGGGTGGGGATATGTGGGGTGTGGGAGGGGACTGTGTACAAATGGAGTTTTTCTTTTGCTTTTCAAGGAGAGGAGCGAACAGGGGGTGGAGGTGAGGGTAGGTGGGTGGGGAGAAAAGTGCAACAATGAATGAATGGAGTTCCAAAATCTCTGTAGATGTTCATTGAAATTAATAATAAAAAAATGTAAAAGAAAAAAAAATCAAAGTATCAGCAAAGAAAAAAAAGAGCATTTCAGACCCTCTTGAGTGAGCCGGAGCCATCATTTTATTAGCATAGCTGCAAAGAAGGAATTTTTTTTTAAATGGCCTGTCGCATCCTCCACCTGTGGCAGGTAAGTTATTAGTAAGTTCCAGTCACAACCAAGCGTTTGAATCATCGCACCATCAAGGGGCCTTGTAAAAGCAACCCAAATCCACTTCCAACACTTAGCAACCCTGTCAGACTGTCCCATAAGGTTCCTGTGGCTATATGTATTTACTGAAGCTGATAAGCAGATTGTTTCATCTATCTTGTTCAGAGGGACTTGTGGATTCGAACAGTGCACCTTTCAGTTTGTTTAACCACCCCACTACCAGGGCTCCTTTAAAAAACTAACCGTAACATGAATGTGACAACCAGCACAAGTGCAAGTTGGAAGTTTGCAGAATTGGGGCAGTGAGGCGAGACGGGGAGAACAGGGCTCAGGACCAGATGAGGTTGGTCTTGGGGAACAGAAGGGCCCTCTGGGTGCAGCTCCCCTTGCTGCATCCAGCAGGGCCCTAGAATCTAGGCCTCCAGGATAAATCCAAGAGGAGGCAGGACGGAAGAGACATTAGGAAGATGACAAGGGGAACCTCTATCTGCCATATCTTTACCCCAGAGACAATTTCAGGTAGAGCTCAGTGGGGAGGTGACTCCGTCTGGACTACCTGTGGTTCTAGGACGTATTAAATCCCAGCCCTGAAACCTGTTCCTTGCTCCCGTCCTGCAGAAGCCCTTTCCACAGTGGGCGTTCTGCCAACTGGCCACACCAAGTGCAACGTGTCATCTTGGAGCACAGCTGCTGGATGAGACTGGAATGCCCAGGTGAGGCGCTCCTGGGCTCTGGCAGAGACAAGGCTTGCTGTTTCCTTGTCACTAGGGGCCCACATACTTGGCTATAATGACCCTCCTTACACCTGGACCAGCTTGCACCCCAGTGACTCTGCCACTGCATGCGGGTGCATGTGCACTACCTTCTCGGATCCCTGAGCTAGCAGACCCCATTATTCTGAGGGGGAACCTGAGGTTTGGAAGGTAAAAATGACGGTGCGGGAATCCAGGACTCAAGCCTTGGCTTGACTCCCACATGGTCAGAGGCACAGCCTGCGAACATACTGCAATGCCCGGCGTGGCCTACAGGGGGCCACAGGAGGAGTGGGATGGCAGCAGCAATGCAGGGCAGTCAAGACATAGGTATGCCAATGCTCTGGCTCACGCACAAGTGAAACTACACACAGATTGGGTGCTGCCAGCAACCCCCAGGCACGCGCTTGCTAACCTCCAGCAGTGTGTCGTTGGCAGCCACCCCCACCACTCTCCAACTTCTTGAGCTCAGCCCACCCACCTGGTGACTCAGACGCCTAGGTGCCCACCTGGCCCCCTTGTCTCTAGCCTCCTGCCTCCCCCACATCTCTGCTTCTTGCTCACACTGCCTGCCTCTCCCTCAAGCGGAAATTCATCAAAGGGCTGCATCTTTACAAAGCCCGAAGGGGACTGTTGCATACCTATACCCTCAAAGCCTGGCTGGCAAAGCTGTCCTCCTGGTTCAGGTCATCGTCTCCAGCCCATCTGCCTTCTGAATTTGCCCTTGTGTATCCCTAAAGCCTTGGCTAGACTTCCATGAATGTGGCCTTGGGAAGGGCATGCTGGGCTTGGGGGTAGGGGTACCCACCGGAGCTCCAGCATTCCCCTCTGAAAAATGGGCTGACAAATAGGACATCTCTTTGGTCTTTGGCAGGATGTCCCAAGGTGGGAGGCGCATCTGTTTTTCTTCTCCCCACACTGAATGAACCCACAGGAGCCCCACGAGAGGGTCCTGTACCCCACTACCTCTCATCACAGCACGTGTCCAGATGTGACCATAACATCAGAATACCCAATGCTTCCAGATCCCAGGAAGGTTGGGCCCACTGCATGTGGAGGCCTCTGATTCAGGTCAGGAGTCCTCCTCCCCAAACCTCAAGCCCACCTCCAAAAACGCAACCTGGACTCCACAGACATGCATATGACCCCAAACTCCAACACTCCCTCTGACAGGTGTGGCTGATACTGGTGATCCAGTATAACCCCACGCCTCCTGAACAGGGAGAGCTGGTATGGAGTACAACCGAGTCCATTCTGAATCAGGATGACCTGTGATATGGTCTGTGGGGAGGAGGGTCTGGGAAGTATTATCTTTGCAGGAGCAGAGTGTCAGGTCCTTGTATATCCACTGGTGTGTTTGAACCTCCAGTTTTTTGGGGTTACCAACTCAGCACTTAACTGTCACACTAGGTCCCCTCCAAGACCGAAATGGAGAGGAAATGAAGCTGTGAGCCCAGACCTGGGACTAAAACCCTTCAACTCACATCTGAGCTGGCCACATCACATGGGGAACTGGCAAGCCTGGCACTCTGGTGCTACCTGGCGGGAGGACTGTGTTCCCAGTATGAACTGCCCCTGACACTGGAGAGGATCACTTGTCGCCCTGTGGGTCATGAGTGTTCCTCATATTCACTAGGAGCTGGGTGACCTTGAGTTCTCCAGGGTTCAAGGTGGTGGAGCAGCTAAGGGAGCAGAAGCTGGCTCCCAGTCATCACGATGCTGGGACTCGTCTGCCAACTCAAGTCCCTCCTGAAGATCAGGGGCTGCCCCACTCTCCCATCGCTATCCTACTCTACATTCTGAGGCTGTGCTTTGTCACTCTCAGGGCTCCCAGGTCAATGCCAGCTTCTTTCCATGTCTGCGTGCAGGCCTCTGGAATCATCCCCTAAAGGCACTGTTTTCCTTCGATCATGCAGGTACCAATCTCAGCAGGTCCTGCCACCTCCCCTGGAGCCTAAGGACATCAGGCTGAGCTGTGATGATACTTTCACTTCAAGCCAAACACACCTTCTCCAGGAGGGCCACCAGGTGAGCGCCTGAAAACGGAGAAGCCAGCACTGAATATAAACAAGACTCGAGGCAGCACAGGTCGCTGCAAGAGCACATTTATCCAAAGCCCACTGGGTCCAGGCTGCTGCTCATCTGCAGACCGCCTCTCAACGATGAGCTCAGCTGGGCTGGGATCCTCACCACCAAGGTCACTGTCCGGCCTTCTCTGCTTGCCACACCAGCTCACCCGAGATGTAGGTAGCCTGGACATGCAGGGCATCATCAAGTACCACGAAATCTGGAGGAAAGTGGCAATGAAGGGGTAGTGTAGAAGCACACCACCGCCTGCCACTACTCCCAGCTTGCAGGACCAAGGCTCAGGACATGCTCTGTATGATGCCCTAACTCAGGGAGACCAGAGAGCTTAGCCTGACACGAGAGGAAAGCTAGACCAAGGCAGGGGGTCAGAGTGGGGAATGGGCCGGACTCCCACCCTCCCTGGCCCTGGTCCCTGGCATTCCTCAGCCTCCTAGCAGAGGACCTCTACCTGCATCAGCACCGAAGTCCAGGGTCCCCTTGTGCTTCTCCAGCCCCAGCAGCTGGGCTGGGTGGAGTGACGCGGCCTCCAGAGCAGTCTCCAAGCTGCAGCCTGCGTAGGGGCTCCGTTCAGTGCTGACCCCAGGCTTGGCCCCACCCCTCCCCCTTGCTCCAAGACCCAAGACTATTCAGAGGCCATGTTCTAGTCTCGGAGAAGACTGGTCACATCTGCCTTCCCCAGGCCCACCACACCACTGGGAGGACCTTTAGCCCCTCAGTGGCACATGTTCTCCAAGTTCTAAGGTCCCTCCAGCCCCACTGACCTGTGGCCTGCAGAAAGTTCCGTACGCAGACATCCATGGGGGCAATGCTGCCGCACAGTGTCTTGGTACCTGGGGAGTGGAAAGTGGGGACTTGGGGGTGTGGCGAAGTCAGGCACAACGGCAGGGACCTCTGGAGGGTCACCAACTCAGCACTTAACTGTCACACCACTAGGTCCCCTCCAAGGCCCAAATGGAGAGGAAATGAAGCTGTGAGCCCAGACCTGGGACTGAAACCTTTCAATTCACTTCTGAGCTGGCCGCACCACATGGGGAACTGGCAAGCCTGTGTTACTCACCTGCCACATAGGCTGAAAGCGAATCCACCTCCACAACCTGCTGGCCCAAGGTGTGACGGCCATCACCCAGGCCTAGGGCAGGGATAGCATCGGTGACCAGCACCAGTCCTGGTGAGGGGAGACGGACAGGAGAACCTGCTGGCCATCCAGAGCCCTTGCTTCTTGCTGGTCACTCCAGCCCCACCGCAGCCTCAGCCCAGTCTGGCCTCAGGCAGCTCCTCACCCTGGGGGTGGGCCCGATGGGCGATGCGCAGGGCAGCAGGGTTTGTGTGGATGCCGTCAGCAATCATCCCATAGAAGACACAGCGGTCTGGGGGCACCTGGTCACTGGTCAGAAGCCCCACAATGCCTGGATCCCGGTGGTGGAACTAGGCAGGAAAGAGGTAGCAGATCAATGCCTGTAAGGCCCCACACTGGCCCAGCCCAGGGAGCAGCTACACTCACAGGCAACATGGCATTGAAGAGGTGAGTGATAAAGGTAGCCCCACTCTGCACAGCACCTTCAGCTGTCCGCAGGTCAGCCACCGAGTGCCCTAGGTGGAAGGCAGTGCTCACGGTCAGATCCTGTGTCAGCCTGGCCCACTTCCACCCCGCGGATGGCCCCCTCACCAAGGGACACGCGGATATCTCGGGCTGTCAGCTCCCGGATCACCTCGTGGCTGCGGCCTAGCTCGGGGGCAAGCGTCAAGATACAGACATTGTCCAGGGATCCATAGGTGGTCAGCACATCCTGGAAGGCATTGGCTTCAAAGGAGCGGAGGTGGGCTTCAGGATGTGCACCACGCTTCTGCTGGCTGATGAAAGGGCCCTCCAGATGCACCCCTGGGAAAAGAGGGTGGGAGAGGCTTCAGCAGGGACTCCAACCATCCCTGCAGCTCCCACCCCTCACCTCCATTCCCTCCCTGGTGGTAAGGTATCTGGAGGGGGAGGGGCTACCACAAGGTTCCCCCATCCATTCATGGAGCCTCACAGGGCAGGGGTGGGGGACACACCAGTCACTCACCGAGGACCCCCGCCCCATGGGGGCCACCTTTCTTCACAGGGATCTGAGGAAGGACCTGGGGGGAACCAGCTGTTAAAGCCCTGTCCCCACAACCCACAGCCCCAAGGTCATAGCCCAGGCAGGGTTAGAGTTCAGAGCCCAGCCCCAAGCTCAGCCCAGCCTAGTGAAAGTCCAAAGTCAATGCCATTACTCAGGCCAGCCCCTGCTGGCCCAAAGTCCCCACCTGGGGTTTGACAAGGCAGGTTGGATAGGCAGTTTAGACATGCCTCTGAAAGGGAGGGAGCAGGAGACCACAACATACAACAAGACAAAGCAACTGTGGGGGCTGCAGAAAACAACGGTGGGAAGAATCACCCCACAACCTCTCAGGATGCAGTTTTTTATTCATGAGACAAGAACTGGGTGTTATGCAACAGGAATACAACTCACTGCCTTAAGTCCAGTGACTTACAGCAACCACCACGGACTGAACTGTTGCCCAGTGCCCCCTAAAATGTTGTTAGACGTCCTTGTGTTGACCAAGACTCATAGTGACCCTATGAATAAGAGATGTAATAAGGTAATCTGAAAGTTATGTAGTGATTCCACACAGGCTGCTAAACCACAGTCCTTAAAACGATTAAGGATGGGATGCCAACACCCTTAATCCCACTCCATCTGAATGTCCCTGTCACATCTTTTATCTCAAAAGAAACAAAGGGAAAGAAGTAGGCAGGGAAGGGGATCAAAAGGGAAAAATTGAAGAACAGTTTCAAATTCTCATAGACTCTAGACTTCCTGGACGAAACTTTAAAACTACATTCCTGAAGTAATCTTTACACCTGAAACCAAAAATATCCTCTGAAATCATCATCTGTTGTTTTAATTATGATTTGAGTAAAAGTTTACAGAAGTCATCCTGAAATGGAACAGTATTTCAGCTTAACAACAAATATGTGTTAAGCATTATGCTGTTTTAAGAACTCTCCATGGGATCAAATTGACACTAGAAACTTGAAAAACCAGCTGGAACCTTAGGAGGAAAGAGCTTATGTTAATAGGGGAGGAACAACTTCAAAAAGGAAGGTGAAAAGAGTTGCCCAACTTCAAGCGTATAACCAGCATGACGGCATCGTGCACATAGAAGAAACTGCTGAATTGCTATGTACTTTGCTGTGTATATTCTCAATAAAACAAGACGCAGCAGCAGTTCTTACTTGATGGAAAAATTACTCCCAACAGAGAAAATTCTAATGCAGCCAAGCCTTCAGATAACAAAGTAAAGACATTTCCAGGCATGCTCAGTGTCAAAAGATCTGTCTCCTGTGACCCCTTTTTTTCTGTGTAAGCTATTGGAAGATGTGCTCCACCCAAAGGCAGAAACCAGGAATGAGGAAGGTACCAGAGGAGGGACGCAAGCAAGCCAGAAGGCGGCAGCCAGGGCCTCCCAGGGCAGGGGTGAGGAGCACAGGTCCCCAAACGAGGAAAGTGTCAGCACCCTTGTGGTATCTCCATGCCCCAAGGACCTTAACTACAAGAACTTGATGGTGCCCAGATTCCAGTATCAATCATTCTAACCCAGGCCACACAGCCAGCATGATATCCAGCTCCCTACCATTAAGTCACAGCGACACCGACACCGCAGGATAGAGAACTACCCTCGGGGCTTCCCAAGGCTCTGTCTCATCTTTCTCCTGCATAGCATCTTGCAGGAAGGAACTACTGACATTTTAGTAAGCAACTGGCTACTTAAACCACAGCACAACCAGAGCACTTGAAACGAAGAAAAACACCAAAGTAGTATGTCACATAGAACAAGGCCAGCTCGGAACAAATGCCTCAGAAAACAAAGCAAGGTAAGCTACAACAACAAGGCTGGCAGGTAGAGAAAAGATGTCTAGGGGCATAGCAGGGTAAGTCTGGGGTCTACCCACACAGTGCCCAGATGGGGTTCAAGCTGTCCCAGGAGGGGTATGAGAGGAAGCCTTGGGAGAGTGCCCTACCCGCCAAGGGTTTAAAACTATGAAGGCAAATTTCAGAGAGTCAGGGCTAGGAAGTGGGAGTGGCCTTCCCTCCTCAAAACAGGGAAACTGGCAGGACCCCAAGGCTACGGTTTCCCTAAGAAGGCGTGGGAGTGTATGGATCTTTGCAAAAGATCAACAATAAAAAGACAATAAATAGCCAAACTGACTCAACTTCAAGGCGAGTATATACACCAAAAACCCCCAAATCAAACCAAAAAAACCCCTACAAACCCTCTGCCATCCAAACAGTGAAAAAAAATGGCAGGATGCCTGAGCAGACCAGCACTAGCTGGCACCCAACTATCACAACCCATTCATCTGATCAGGATCACAATGGGGTACATGATACCCAAACCTCTACCCCATCCACACTTGCTCCCCAGCAGATTCCAAGCCTAGGGGCCTGCAGGACAGAATAGAATTGCCCCAGAGACTTTCTGAAGCTGTGCATCTTGATGGGAACAGACTGTCTCATGCAGAATGACCAGTAAGTTCTAAGATCTGCCCTTTAGTTAGCAGGGGCACTTATCTGTCCACTACTAGAGCTTGCTTCAGTGAAGGTAGGCAGGCAGCTGTTAAAGTGCAGAGACTTGAGGGGTAAGCTCTGGCTGCCATACCAGGCAGTACCTGACTCTACCGGGTGCAGGAGATATCGAATCAAACCATTGCCAAGTCTGAAAGCAAAGAGCACCATTTGCCAAGTCTGAAAGCAAAAAGCTAAGTGGAAGATACCCCAGAAACAAGCAAGTGGTCCCAAATGACCAGAAGAGGGCAAGTGAGCTGGGTTAACTGCTGGTCAACTGGTGTTCCAGTTCCAGGCACTGTGAATGGGCCTACAGAGGAGGGTCACACCAGTGAGGTCACGCCAACATACCCATGGCTCTGCATTTTCTGACACTGATATAACATTCTCTTCATCTCCACCATCATCTGTCTCTTCTCTGTCTCCCAGAGTCTTTTTCTAGAAGCACTTATTGGGGGCCCACAAAGTGTGTGGACTAGAACTGGGCAAACACATCCTGCTGTTGAGACCCAATCTACCTCAGAACTAAACTGTGCCATCATCACAATTCCGGCTTCACTTGAGCCCATGGCTGCAGTCCGTCTTGTTGAGGGGCTTCTTCTCATTTGCTGCTCATCCACTTTTCTAAGCATGATGTTCTTTCTCCATGGACTGGTCCAAAGTTGTTGTTAGATGCCTTTGAGTTGATGAACCATCTACTTCCTAAATAACAGGTCCAAAGTGCGTGAGACAAAATCTGGCAATTCAGGTTTCTAAGAAGCCAGAGTGACTGGACTTTTTCCAAGACAGATGTCTGTTCTTTAGGCAGTTTGTTCAACACTCTTCACCAACAACACAATCACAAAACATCAATTCTTTTAAATATAAGAATGAGATCTGGGGGTGGGCAGGGAGAAAAGTGCAACAATGAATGAATGGAAATCCTCAGTCTCTGTAAACTTTCATTAAAATTAATAATAATTTTTTTTTTAAAAAAAGAATGAGATCTGGAGAAAGTAGAAGTATTTAGGCTGCAAGCAATTATTTTTCCTAAAGAAAATTATAAGGAACTCTGGTAGCCAGTTGTTCTTTAGAACAAAGATGGACAATCTCTTCCTGTGTGATTAACTGTCTCTGAAAATCCGCCAGAGTCTCAGGTATAGGTCCGTTCTGACCCTACAGTACACAACAACAACAAAGAAACCTGTGTGAGGGCTATAGTCATGATGTGCCTGGACAAAGGCATTCCAAGAGAGGACTTGGGGGCAGGAAAGGCTCCACAGCAGAGGGGGAGACTAAGAAGGAGCGTTTTTATGGAGAAGAAAAAACAAGCACTTTGAAGGGTCATTCCCTCCAGTGTTGGATGATGGTAGAACCCAGAGCCACTCACTGGATTCAGGTCCAGGTCCCCAGCCTCAGGGACCCAGGTCCACTCACTGAGGCTTGGCGGGAATCATGGTGGAGTGGAGAATAAGGTCGCATTCCCACGTTCCAGGCCAAGTGAACCTCAGACAAGGGCCCATAGCAAACACCATTCAAGTTCACCAGCTGCTCTGCAGGAGAAAGATGTGTGGTCTCCTGATATGAACACAGCCTGAAAACCCTATGAAGGGTTCTCCAAGTCAACCAGAGGTTAGGGGATCTGTAGAGGATCCAGGGGTTTTGGCAGCAGAGAGATTAATTAAAGTGGTTGGTTGTTAACCAAATCCACCATGTGGTTCAAATCCACCAGGTGCTGTAAGGAAGACAGATGTGGCAGTCTGCTTCTGGAGAGCTTTACAGCCTCTGAAACTCTGTGAAGCAATTCTACTCTGCCTTACATGGTCACCGTTAATGACAGCCAGTGGGGGTCAGTGCGCTGGAGGGGATCCTGTACTGGCCTTGGAAAGCACTGCCAGTCCACTATCCCACTGGCCTTCATTACCCTCAACTTCCAGGCCCCAGAGTTCAGAACTAGATGGTGCACCAACCTCTACTAACTGTGCTGAAAGCAGTCACAGTAGAAGGCCCCAGACAGAGTGGAGGTAAATTTAGAATAAAACTCATACATAAAAATGACCAGGCTTACTGGCCTGACAAAGACAGGTGGAATCTGAAACACTGGCCTTTGACCATCCTTGACCCTGGAACTGAACTCACCCCTGTGGTACATTTGGCCAAACAACAGATGTTAACAGTAGCACCAGAGAGGTACTCAGTCCTTAAAATACCCAACCACACAGGACCACAAGTGCAGCCTCTGTCCAAAGAGAAATCAGAAGGCAGGAGAGAAGAAAATGGAGGGGAGGGACAAAGAAAAATAATAACCGCAAGGAAGCAGAGAGAGGAGTGCTGATACTATGTGGGGATGCCATAAAACAAAATATGTATGAGTGGTAAAACATAAAATCATGCAAGCAAAGAGCATTACTGAGACAATAAGCACAACAGGATAATTAAGGGAAAATGGCAAAAGCTAGAGCCCAACTAAGGGAGAAATCTATCACAGATGAAAAAACACAACTATTTCATCAAATGACTGAAGAAAAAGTGCTCACTGCACACTGCCTACAGTGGAACTGGCAAGGACCGGTGACACAGGCAGTCCCTAGGAACTCTGGGATTGATTGTAAAAAATTCACTGTAAAACTTGGCAAGTAGATTGAAGCAGCAAGCACCTCTGTTTGTAAACTATTAAGTATTACAAGTATTACGTATACAAGTATTAAGGAAGAATGCTGTAGGATAGAAATAATCGATGCACAAAAAGGCACTTTGGGAGCACAGTGGGACACACATTGGGCCACAGCTAGGTGGTTCAACACCGTCAGCTGCCTACAGGACAGCTTCCTCCTGTAAAGATTCACCACCTGAGAAATCACATGGAGGATCATCGTGAATCAGAGTCAATGGGACAGTAGTAGGGTGATGGGTTTTTTGGGGGGGCCTGTATGTTTCACTTGCAAAGAATCTGGGGAAAAATAACTAAGAGAACGAAACTAAAGGGTAAAGCGCAATCACATTAAAATGAGACCATTTGCCTCAAAACTAAAATTTAAGAAAAATAGAGTAAAAGGACCTATGTCAAAGAGGTCTGGACCTTATAGGTAGAAAAGGAAATGGTAGAGATTCCAGCACCAAAACACCTGTAGAGAAACAACAGAACTTTCAGGAAGGTATGTTTTGCCACATACCACACACAGGTCAGAGAGCTTAAGCCTAAGGAGTGGCATGTGGCAATCAGAGTCCCTGGTGACCTTGGTCAAGGAGGTAGTTCTGGAGGCACCAAGTGGCCAGAATGCAGGGGGCCTGGGAATGTGTCCAGAAAGCAAGAAACCTATTGCAGGGCACACAGGGCAAGGGGCTGCCTGCCTTCTGGGGACCCTTCCTCCAGGCCAGGGGAGGCAGACCTCACCTTGTGATACACTGTGGGCGGGGATGTGACCAGTGTGGGGCAGAAGGACGTGACTCCGTGAGACAGGATCTTCTGGGCCACCAGGGCGACCCCTGACCCCACGTCCTCAGTGGCCTGAGAGAAGTCAACGCCAAATCCACCTGTGACCACAGAAAATACAAAGAGTCACTGATGCTCAGCGTGCCCTCCCTCCCCCAGACCACTGCACAGACCGCACCGTTGATCTGCACATCGATGAAGCCCGGTGCCAAAATGCAGCCCCCGCAATCCAGCTGCTGGTCAGCCAAGCGCCGCTCATCAAAAAACAGCTTCTCCGGATCCAGAATGCGGCCCTCGCGCACCCAGAGGTCCTCCCTGCCACACAGCACCCAGGGCTCAGCTCACCGGACGGCCTTAGACCTGCTCAACGCCCGCCTGCCTCCACAGTAGACCCGCTCTGCATCCTGCCTTGTCCTCGCACCCCATCTTCTCTTGGTTTTCTTCTCGCTCCGAACCCCGCCTTGCCCCTGCAGCACTAGCCTGATCGTCACACCCAGCCTGGCTCCAGACCCCCGCCTTGCTCCGGCACCAGCCGGGTCCCCACCCCCTGCCTGGCCAAGTACCCCTTCAGCTCCGCTCTGCCCCGTCCTTATCGCCATCCAGGCCCCGGCCGCACCCACACGCAGTCCCCGCGCACCTGAGCAGCGAGCCGCCCCGCAACAGGCGGCAGTTGGTGAATTGCAGCACTGGGGATCGTGTCGCCTCCTGCCCGCCCCGCATCCTGAGGTGGCGGCAGCCACAGACACAGCACCGAGTCAGCCTGCCAGGAACCGAGGTGGAACCACGTGACCCTCAGCTGACTGGGGCTGTACCATGTGACGGCGCAGCTCACATGACCCGGCAGGCCTCGTGACCGCGGCACAGCAGAGCCAGCCTATCCTGCTGCCCGCTCTAGCCCAGGCCCCGCCCCCGGCCCCACAGAGGTGGCGCAGACACCCAATCCAGTCACATCAGAGAACTTTATTGGACACAGGTCGCGAGGGGCCGCACCCCCCAAGGGGGCGGCGCCGGCAGAGGGCGGTGCTCCAAGTAAGTCTCGGAGGACGGGAACCCCACAACGCAACACGTTACCTAAGGTTACTAGAGAGTGGGAGACGAGGGCTGCTCCACAGACGTATGAACAGGTCAGATCTTTTATAAATAACATCCAGTGAAGAGAGAAATGACGCGTCTAATTCATCCTTGAACACAGGGCACTCTGGGGCAGCCGGGCGTGCCCCTCACTGGGAAGGGCCGGACGGGAGGAGCGGGTCCAGACCACAGCACGGGGCGGGGGACGGGGGCAAGGCGGGCAACAGACGGTGGGCACTAAGACACTGCGCATTTACAAGACCAACTACGAGGGGGTCAGCGGCCCCGTGCGTGTGTGTCAGGCTGTTCATTCTGGAATGAGGAGGGGTGGTCTTTACATCGGATTTCAGCGGCTTCTAGGCTGCAAAGGGGCTACTTTGTGGAGAGGATGAGGGCCACGATGAGGCCATAGAGGCCCAGCACCTCGGCGAAGATGAGGATCAGAATCATGCCGACGAAAAGCCTGGGCTGCTGGGCGGTGCCCCGCACGCCGGCGTCCCCCACGATGCCAATGGCAAAGCCGGCCGCCAGCCCACTCAGGCCCACACTCAGGCCGGCGCCCAGCTGAAGGAAGCTCCTGCAGGAGGGGCGGACATCAGAAGCAGCGGGGTAAACGGGAAGGCCCCCTCATCCGCCCATGCCCAGCTTAGTGGGGGCCCCCCACTCACTTGTAGAGGGTGATGTTGTCATTCAGGGAGTTGGCGATGAGGACAGCCACCACCAGTCCGTAGATGGCGATGATGCCGGCCATGACCACGGGGATGATGGACTTCATGATCAGCTCTGGCCGCATGACAGACATGGCGGCGATGCCTGTGCCGCTCTTGGCTGTGCCATAGGCGGCACCCAGGGCTGCAGAGGGGGAGGCAAGGTCAGGAGAGCAGCCTCTGAAGATAATGCCGCGGCGAGGGCGTTTCTCGGACAGGGGCCGTAGCACTGAGCAGGCGGCAGGGGCATGGCTGGGCCTGTCCTCCCTGCCTGGCCGGGCCCCTGCCCACCAGCTCCTCCGAGTATCTGCTGCCGCGGCCGCCTGGAACCAACAGGTGGCGCCAAAACAGGCCAGGCTGCAGGTCCTGGAAAGCAGCTAACCGTGCGTGCAGGGAAGGCTCGGAGCACAGCTGACCAGCTTCCAGCTTAGGCGGCTCAGGTATCAGGCTGGGAGAGCCAGCCCCATCCGAGGCCAAGCTGGGCTAAGTGCCGTCCTCTCAGCGACTGCCCCATCTGCCTGTGAGCCTGGGCCTCTGGACAGTCCACTCCATCACCAGAGGGCCCAAGTGGCTGCCACTAGGCATTTGGGTCTCAAATTTAACAGTTCCCCCACAGCACAAGGGGCCTGCAGACTGTATCAGGCTATGTGCTCTAAGACGCCCTCCTTTTTTTTTTTTCTCTCCAGTTTTTTCTCTCCAGTTTCTCTCTCCCCTATTTTTATCCACAAAACACTAGAAATGGCAAGTCAGCTGTCCCCTGTCTTCCAAGGTGAGGACAGGGGAGTGCTGCTGAGGCACTTTTCACTGGCAGGCCCATATTGGGCCAGGGTCCTTACAGGGGAGCAGGAAGGATTCCCTGGTAGGCTAGTTCCATAGAGAAAAGTGGTCAGGTGGCAGGGGCCATTCCCGCGCAGGAACTCCTCATTGATTCAGGGCATCATGCCCAGCAGTGGGAGGGGAGATAGGGCAGAGGAGCTCCTTCTTCACACCTATTCAAGTCCATGCAGAGGTTCTATCTGGTGAGGGTCTGGTGAAGGTTTAAGAGGTCACAGGAAGACACCCAACGTGACAGGTGGGAAGGGGTGGAAGGTAGTGCCCTCATCCTAACCTGCAGCTCTCCTGCACAAATGCATCTTCTGCTCTCTTTATTCTTCAGAGACTGACTCCTGGGGCACCCCAGGGTAGAAAATGCTCTGGCCCCCAGCTGCCAGAGCACAGGGGAAATCACATGGCTTGGGGAAGGAACAAATAGGTGGCATGACCATGGGAGCGTGAGGAGTGGAGTTAACAGATCAAAGCAGTGGCCCTGGGCAATGGGGGGGCTGGAAGAACACACAGCCCGCCCTCTGGGGCTCTAGAAGGCACACTTTCCAGGTCTGTCAGATGGGGGGGCAGGAGGCAGTTCCAGGAACAGGCACACCACTCATAGGGTGTCACCATAAGGGAGGAAGTCAGAACATACAGAAAAGCAGCAACAGTCATCTTTACGGCAGGCATGATGAAGAAAGAGGTGCTGGGACTTTTGTCATCGTGGACAAAAAAGAGGAAGTGGAAATGCAGACTAGGAGCAGGACATGGGCTTTGGACAGTCAGCCCAAGAGTTGAGAGGCTGGGGTTCGAAGATAAACTGGGCTTAGCCTGGGAGAGGACAGATGGACCCCCCTGAGAAGTCACCATAGAAGCTGGCAGCCTGCCCTGGCTAAGAGTCCTGCTGAGAGACAGAAACAAAGTTGGAAGCTGTCTGAACTGGCCTGGGGAGAAAGTGGCCACTGTGTCAAGCTCAGTATAGGTGAGGAGTCAGGGTAAAGGACAGTCCTGGCCAATAACAGCCTGTTCTGACCCCAGCTGAGAAGCTTGCAGTGAGAAGTGAGGGAAGGGGCTGGTCGAGGTCGGGGCTCTAGAACAAGCAGGGAAGGCCAGAAGGTTCCAGTTCTGGTTACTGATGTAGACTGTTAAGAGCTCTGCCAGGAGGTGACTGAATAAGGGCAAGAACTGTCCACAGTGTTAGTGGGACTCTGGGAGCTAAGAACAGAACAGTGGGTAAACACACACCACCGCCCCAAATCCGTGGGAAAGGCAGTAGTCTGGATGACAAGGAGAAGTCCAGACCACTTCTCCCACCACAAATGACCCCTTACAGCGCATGACATGGTGAGCTGGGCTCAGTCAGCGGCACGTGGGCAGGTCCAGGCAGAGTCCCTCCAGCAAGTGGAGCCCCCAAGTCCCCACTCCACAAGTGTTTACAGTCAGCAGAGTCTGTTTGGAGTTCAAACCCTCCACATACCTACATAGCCTTCCCCCAGTTGCAGGGAAGGTGGGGCAGGGTGGGGTCATGGAAGCATGGACCAGGCCAGACCAGTCTTTGGGGGCTGCAACCAGGCCGGGCCTTACTGCCTGGATCGCGTCGGCACAGGCCGTCCTTCCTCCCCGACACAGGGCTGCCAAGGTACCAATCCACTCACATAAGATTCTATAGAACTGAGGGTCATCCCTGGACGTCCCCTCCCCCAAGCCCAAGAAGGCAAGAAAGGTCATTCATTCATTCAGTAGGGCCAAAGCAGAAACCAATCCTGTAAACAGGGACACTACGTGGGATCCTCCTCCTTGATGCCCCCCAAGTATATAGCCCCTCAGCATGCCTCCCATGCACCCAGCTTTCGTCCTCGCTCGTCTGACCGCCCACCCCATTTCCCCACACTGCCTCCACCTCGTCCATCCCTGCCCACTCCCAGGACCAAGCCCTCACCCAGCTTCCCACACAGCTCACAGCGTGATTGGGAAACCTGGACCAAGCCCTAACAGGAAGCACTTGCCCCCTGGGACAGACCCACCTGTCCGTGATCGGGCCCCGCCAGGGCGAAGCCGGGCGCCTCTGCGGGTCCAGGACCCGCAGCCTGGCTCCGGCTCCCCCACCCCCGCTGCTGGGGGGTAGCCGGCCGAGGTGTGATGTCACCTGCCCGCAAAATAAGGGGGAGCCGTCCGAGGTGTGATGTCACGCCTGCCCGCAGAAGCGGGGGGCGGGTGCGGAGCAGGCGCAAGTCCAGGCGCCGCCCCCCCCCGCGCCCCCACCCCAGCCTACCGCTCGCCATCCGGGACTAAGATGGCAGCGGCGCCGCCCCACCCCCGCACCGATGCCCCGGCCGGCGCCTAAGGCCCGACCCAGACCACACGCCCGGAGCCCTAGGCCCCTGGGCTGCACCCCACTCCCCGCAGTCACGTGAGTAACGGGGCACCCCGCACCAGCTCCGAATGGCGTCAGACTGACGTCACGGGCCGAACCCCGCGGACTGCGGGAACGAGCCTCGCACACCCAGGTGTCCCCCATCCGCGACCCCTCCTGTGGCGGTGCTCACCGCTAAAGACCATGGCGCACGAGGCGCCCATGACGGCGAAAAACGAGGCGTACTCGGGGCCGGTCACGGTCTCGGACATGTCTGCGGATAGGGGGCGAACTCAGCAGGGCGAGTCGGCCAGGCGCGCGGCGGCGGACGGGCACAGAGGTGAGGGGAACCAGAGGCGGGAAGGCGATCCGGCCCGTCAGCCGCTGCGCTCTAAATACCAGCACCGCAGAACAAAATGGCGGCCGCCACCGCGTCACATGACCTTCGCCCCGCCCCTGCGGGCTGTACCACCTTACGATGGCGGGGGAGCCGCGGCCTGGCGACGCCTGGGTGGTTCGACGATCGTCTCCAGTCCGCCTGGTAGCCCCAGTCCCCTGCTCTGAACCCCGCCTTGGCCTCTAGAGAGGGTGCCGTCCGCCGCTGGTCCTCTGAACCCCGCAGCGTTGGACTCGTCCGACCCCTAGGCCAGGGCGGGAGGGAGGGTGCATATTAGCATATGGGGCGTGGCACCGGGCCCCCGCCTCCTCTGCGGGCAGCGCGGCTCCAGGTGGCTCCGGTCCAAGGGCCGCTTCTCCTTGGCATTTGCTGTGCGGAACGTTCTCACTGCCTGCTCTTTTCTCCGCGTCTCTCGCAGAGAAAGCAGGCCGGACCCCGGGATCCCCGAAGCAGACAATACTGGAGTGTCGAGCTTTGAGCGCCGGCCTGCTCGGCTCTTGAGCCCAGAAAATCTCAATACACCCCACCCATGAGATCACTCTTTCCAGCCGCAGCCCTCCGTCCCCAGGATGCTCCCTAAACAGTCCCACTAGGACTTTGCCAGTCTCCTCTAAGGCCAAACACACCAGCTCCCACCCTGTCTCGCTTCTATTTTTATTTTTTTCTTCTTTTTTCTTAAAGGAGCTTTCCCAGTATCCGACCCCTCCCTGCGCCCGAGACGTCTAAAGACACATGTGCATGACGTAGCCCTGCCAGTGTTGTGACCTGCTAGGCACTTCTTGGGATTTCTGCCTGTCCCCACACCTGCAGTGCTGCATTTTCTCTTGAGTAGGCAGCCCTGCCTGCGGCCTCCACGCGGCAGATCCCGGCCTTATCTCCTTCCCTCAGTCCCTCTAGCTTCCCTTGGTTCCCCGTTTCTAGAGCTGGGTCTCCTTTGAGCCCCTAAGCTCCCATCCCTGCATCATAGTGTTCTTCCTGTGACCGCTGTGGGTTATAGGGTCACCGTCCCTGGTCAGCGCCCATTTCCAGCCACACTCACAGCCCCTCTTTCCACTTGCGAAACCTCCCTTCAGCCCTCTTCCTCTGATCAGCTGACTCTGACTCTCAGGACCTGCAGCCCCCAAAATGTCCGTCCCGCATCCAGAGAAGAGGCCGCAGGAACCTAGAAACCCTCACGGACTCTCTTTGCAGTGCTCCTGCCTTCCCTAGCCCTTCAGCCTGGTTAAGGTCACTGCCACCTCGCACCCCCCGTCCCCCCCGCCTCCCCCTCCGCCAGGCTGCTCTGCTTGCTTTTCTCCAACCTGCCCACTTCAGCTGGTTACTCCAGGAGCCCCAGCTTCTATGCATGTTCCAGCAGGCACTGGCCCTGAGCCCACACACCTTTACTATACTCTGTAGTCACCTGTCATTCACCTGTTGGTTAAGCTGAACATCTAGTCCTGATTGTCCTCTAAGGGGCTGCGCAAGCCCCTAGGCAGCCCCACTTAGGATTCAGAGCTGAGGGGAGCCAGGACAGGATGAGGCCCAGTGAGGGCCCGGAGGCCGCCTGGAGGAGCTGGACCTTGTTGGAGAAGAAAGAAGTGCAGGGTAGTCCGCTGGAAGGGACACAGTTCTGAATACAGTGGCCTGCAATGCATAGAGCCCTGGGAGTCGGGGGAAATGGTCCCTCATGACATCAGCAGCTGGTCAGCTTTCTCGCTGCTGGTCTGAAGTTTCCCTACTTTCCTGCTTAATCAAGATTAAGATATCATGCCGGGTTTCTGATGGAACTTAAGACACCCCAAACCAACATGCCTCAAACTCAGCTGGCTCCTGAATGCATGGCCACCAGCTCACCCACTCAAGCTATCCAGCCTACAGATTTCAAGTTTATTGTCCTCCACAATTACAGGAGTCATTTCCCTGAAAGAAATCTGTGTGTGTGTGTGTGTGTGTGTGTGTGTGTGTGTGTGTGTACATGGTACATGTAGAAAAGAAAGAGCTCTGGAAGCATCGTGGGTTAAGGGTTCAGCTGTTACCCAAAAGATCAGTGGTTTGACTCTACCACCTCTCCATGGGAGAAAGGTAGTCATTTGGAAACCGTGACTCAGAGTCCTCTCAAAGACAATGAGTTTGGTGTGTGGAGAAAGAGAGAAGTAAGCCCTGGTAGCACAGTGGATGAAGCTACTAACCAAAAGGTCAAGCTCACCAGCTGCTCCTGGAAGAGCACAGCCTTGGGGACTGTGTGCTGCAGCTCTCATGTCATACCCCTTCCTTAGCTGAAGTCTGGAATCTAATCCACCGCAGGGGCCTTGGTTTGAGCTGGAGTTATGCATAAGTAGCGAACTCCAATGGTGTGGTCCATCCGCACTGTGCTGCTAACCCAAAGTGGAGCTTTTCTGCTTGTCCGCTGGCTCTGTAGGAAAAGATGGGCAATCCTTACAGCATCGGCTCTGGTTCTGCAGCAAAGGGAATATACATGAAGCCCTGGTATCACAGTGGTTAAAGCACTCAGCTACTAACTACTATGTCAAACTCACCAGCTGCTCCAAAGGAGAAAGATAAGGCAGTCAGCCTCTGATAAGGGTTTACAACCCTGGAAGGCCCATGGGGCAGTTCCCCTGTGCCTTACAGGATGGCTGAGCTATGGTGATTTGGGATTGGGGAATATATTTCTTTCACCCAGACATGGTAGTTTTTCCCACACTGCGCCAGGGCCTCCAGCAGCTGGGCCTCTCCCACGGGTCATCACCCTGCTGCCCCTCTTTCTCATGTCCACACGGCCCCACCACATCACACCCACCCCATGGGATCCTGGGCATGGCCACTGCCCTTCCTGTCACAGCTATGGGTTCTCTGAAGTGGCAAATCTGACCAGTCACTTACCTTCCCTCGTTTCCCCTTCAAGGTCTACCTGTCTCAATGCTTTGGCATCTCCTCCCACTGCCTCCTTGTCACCTCTGTTCTTGAGCCTGTGACTCTCTCTTTTCCCCTTCCCAGTTGGCTAACACTATATTACTCAAGCACTGCCTCCTCCAGGAAGCCCAACTGGCCTCCCCCACCTGCCTTGTAGCCTCCCTCACTCAGAGTCCCAGTCTTCTTTCTATTTGTCCCCAGATGGGTTGTGTGGCAGGCACAGTTAACATTTATTGAGTGCCTACTGTGTGTATGGAAGCAGGAGTGGCAGCCATGACGATACTTATAGAAAGGCTTCAGACCTTTTCTTCATTGGGTCGCTATGAGCCATACTCAACTCCACAGCAATCAACAACAACAACTGTATGCCTAACCCTTTTCTTTCTTTTTAAATATTTCTATTGTGATTTGATTGAAAGTTGATAGAGCAAATTGCTTTTTCATTCAACAAGTCTTACCCACTCTGTTTCGTGACTCTGATTATAATCCCCACAATGGAACAGGCTTCCCACTTCCTCCCTGGCTCCCCTGGCCCTTCCTGTATTCTGAGTTCCCCCTCCCCCCAGATACTACCCTTTTGATCTCCCATGGTTGATCTGAGCACTGTGTTCTTGGCGTTACTGATCACTTACCTGCGGCCTCTCCTAGCGTCTTGTGAAGCTGGATTCCAATCTCTGCTCACTTCCTCTTTTTATCTTTCTGAGAGTAAAGGTGTTCAGGCCACACCCCAGGGAAACTCCTCTTAACATTCAGAGCTTGACAGGGCTGGAGGTGTTCCATCCCACCCTTAATTCTCTTGAAGTGATTTGTGGTGGTCACGAGGGTCACTACTTAGTGTCCACAGACTATCACACGTGCTTTGAGGCAGGCACACAGTTGCATCCACAAGAGCTGATAACTGAAAACTCAGTATTCTGAATCCCCTGGCCCTGTGGCTCCACAGGAGCGAGCTGGGCCATGTCCTCCGTTAGAGATTTACAGTTCAGAAAGCCCACAGAGGGAGAGTCATCCCAGTCAGAACAGACTCCACAGCAATGAGTTCACTTGGTTTCAATGTTTGTTTGGTTGAAAGTTGAGCTGGTTCCAGGCTTGAAGATCAAGGATGACAGTCTTAGATAGGGATTACATCTCAATATCAAGTAGACAAAGGTGGTCCTCACGACAGGACCAACAGTGAACATTATGATGGAGAAAGGATTGAAGCTGTCAGTGATTTCATCTTGCTTGGGTCAATAATCAACACCACTGGTATCAGTAGCCAGGAAATCGTATTGCATTGGGCAAGCCCGATGTCAGAGACCTCTCCAAAATACTCTTTGAACAAAGAGCAAAGATGGCAGTTTAAAGACTAAGGTGCGCCTGATTCAGGCCATGGTCTTCTCTATCAACTGCTATGCATCAAAGAGCTGGTTGTTGTTATGTGCTGTCAAGTTGCCTGCGACTCCTAAAACCTGCTCTGTCCTGTGCCAATCGCACTGCCTCTGACACACCCATCCCGATTACCCCAGTCACTGAATCAACCCACCTCATAGAGGGTCTTCCCCTCTTGTGCCGTCCCTCCACCCTCCCAAGTATGGTGTCCCTCTCCAAGGACCTGTCCCTCTTTACAACATGTCCAAAGTATGTCAGACAAAGCCCTAGAATCCTTGCCTCCAAGGAGCAGCCTGGTTTAACCCTCTTCAGGATGAATCTGTTTGTTTTCTTGGCAGTCCATGGTACATTCAATACTCTTCTCCA